CATGCGCACATGCGCACATGCGCAGCTTGACGGTTGGCAGCAAGCAGATGCGTGATATTGTTCGATACAAGCACACGCACGCACGCACGTGTACGTGCACACACACGGACGCACGCATGCATGCACGCAGGTGTAAGTGCACACGCACGCACGCACGTCTACGTGCACATGCATGCATGCACGCACGCACGTGTACCTGTACACACACGCACGTACGCACCAACGCACTCATGCACACACGTGTACCTGCACACGCACGCACGCACACACACACGCATGCACGCATGCTCGCACGTGTACGTGCACACGTTCGTACGTTTGTGTGCACGTACACGTGCGTGCGTGCACACGCACGCACGCACGTGTAAGTTCACACGCACGCACGCATGCACGCACGTGTACGTGCACACGCACGCACGCATGCACGCACGTGTACGTGCACACGCACGCACGCAGCACGCACGTGTACGTGCACTACATAAACAGCGCTTTCTATCAGAACATGTAGTCATTCATCTGTAAATGTCAAGCAGCACGCTTCGCTTCTGCCAACCACAACAGATAACAAATACACGTGACCTGATCTATGGCGTCACGTGAAACATCGCTATTGCTGCGTTGGGCCGATTAAATTGAACTTTACGTTGCGAGGACGCATTTGGTATCTAACGTAGCAGAGAATTCCAGGAATATTTAGAAGTCACGTAAAGTATACACATATAGCTCTCTTCCAAAGGATGCACGGAGCAATATTAGCTCCAGTATTTTCCACAGCTATACGATTCCCCTATCCTAATGAAAACGTTGTTACTCAAGTAAAGATGGTGAAATCTAAATCAACACACTCCCCTCCTAAATTCCCTCATGTATTAAAATATAGTGTAACATGTAGGCTAACACATCTAACTTATAACCTACTCTTTGTCATAACTCGTGTATGGACATAGTTCGCTAAATGTAGGATAACAAACCAGAGGAAGGCTGGTGATGCTGTACGTAAAAATGCCGCATAGGTGATGTTTCAGCTTACCGCAATCATATTTCGCGAGAAAGAAGCCCATTACGTTGTGAGGAAAACCGCTATAAGTTAAATTTCAGATATGCTCAAATAATTCATTTACCACCATAGGTGGCGCCACGGCATTATATTTTACTATGAGCGTCAATTACAGTAATACTGTGCTGTATATTATGTCATTATGCGTTTATATTGTGCTATATTATATTATCGAAGTACATCGTTCCAGGAAAAATGCTTGCAAAGCGAAGCTCCATCACGTGTATCACGTTGTCTTATTAACTGCTATTAAATAATCGAGGATGCGTTCCGACAGAAAGTTTTACCGGCAAAAGAAACGGGTAATCCCCCAGTATCCTCTCATACAAGCACCGACGCGCTTTATAACAAAACGCAAACATTGATACCGTAATGAAACACGGAAAAGCTAGTTTAAAATAAGAACTTGTACCCTGTATCTGGGGTGCAGTGGACGCAGGATATTAATGAACGCACAAATTCCACACACACGAAACGGAACATGCAGGTGTTTCCTCTAATATAAGCTAGGCGGGATCACAGGCACTTGGAATCAATAAATAAAAAAAGTAAATAAACACGAAATGTATTTACACTACCAAAGTCTTAATGTTTCTCTACTCTATTTCGCCTATTATTGCCGGTCGCCCAATGGAAATGACGTAGGGCCGTTTTACCGTTTTAACTATTACGATGTGCTCATGCAGTCTTTCGGAATTTTCATTAAAACGCATAGTGTAAGCTATATTTGCACATGACCAATACCTGCTAACAGTAAGTTAATTATTAGCTTGTAGTGTATGACACATACTTACTATTAGTTTGGTGTAAAAATCTCGATCCAAGCCTCCTTGGTAAGTTGGTTGGGTTGGATCAAAAATGGGTCATGGCTGCGGGCATGGCAACTATAGATATTAGAAAGACAAAAAAACATTTTAAAAATACACGCCCAATAAATGTAATTATATAATCCTACAAATGTGATGAACATAGAAAAATATCCGTTCAGCCTAATATCTCGATTACAAGTATTATCAGGAGTACATAAAAGAGACATAAAGAGAGTACGACAGGCCCGTAGCCGGGGGGGGGGGGGTTCGGGGGGTTCGCACGACCCCCCTCCCCCCGAGCCCCTCTCCGAGCAAAAACAAACAAACTTTTTTACCATTTGAAAATTTGCAAGAATTTCACCTCAGGTATGCACCAGATCGCTCCTTTTTAGTGTAATAATTGCAAAATCTCCCCGCACCCTCCCCCGGCTCGGTCGCTTCGCGCCCTTACAAATTGCCAACATTTAAAAACAACCCCCCCCCCCCATATAAAGCTGGCTACGGGCCTGGTACGGTATATATGTTCTTTATTTCTCTAACCCATAACAATTATTCCCTCATCCTTGTTCAACTCCGAAACGAGATTGCCCTCAAGCAATAGGATTTTGCTCTGAATCTATTATTTACAGGGTTACTGGGTGGATTGCCTGGCTGTGTACGTGCCGCGTGCCTTATTCACGCGGTGACCGGAGATCAGGGCGGATGTATTGTAACCGTGCGAATACGATGATACTTTCACTCCCTTCTCTGTAGGCGAACAACAACACCACAACGCTAGCGTCAATATTTGAATGAAATAATGTACGTAATCTAGTAGTACTCTTCATAGTAGTACCTGCTATATGGAAACAAAATACAAATTAAGTTATAACATCGTGGAAGCTAGAGTATTACCGGCACGCAACTATTGAACTAGTACTAACGGTTCAGGATAGAGAACATGGGTCCCAATAAAACGAGTCATTTACATCAATATAAATAATATTGGTTAGGGATATGGTTAGGGTTAGGGTTAGGATTAGGGTTAGAATTAGGGTTAGGGTTAGGCACATTGGTTTTATTGGGACCCATGTTCTCTATCCTTGGGCCGTTAGGGCCAGGGTTAGAATTAGGGTTAGGGTTAGGCACATTGGTTTTATTGGGACCCATGTTCTCTATCCTTGGGCCACTACTGTACTAGTATTACAATTAATACATACTATTACTAATTTTAGACACAGGTGCATTCGTTTGACCAATATACGTAAATACGCGTAGTGCCGTCTGCTTTCCATGTTTAGTCTGTGGCGGTGGTTAGTCCGCGATCCTGTCGTACCCAAACTTGGAATCTGCACAATCTCGAGATTGTGCAATGATTGTGCTGCCCAAACTGCGGATTCCCTAGTTTGGCTGACCAATCTCAAGATTGGGCAAACTGAAAACAGTCGGTGATTCAACAACCGCTCATAGCGAGTGTGTGGTGTGTGTGGTGCAAACTACGAAGAGATTTATTTCATATTTATCCAATTATTTATTATAATCATTTAATATTTATACAAAGGTGCCAAACACATTGAGGAAAGAAGGTATACGACCTTATAATTATATAGGTATGATATAACATTTGAAATCCTAATAATCATATGTTTGTGCAAGCTCTGTTTACCTCTGTTTGCCCAATCTCAAGATTGGTTGCCCAAACTGCGGATGCGCTGAAATTCCAAGTTTGTGCAAGATTCCAAGTTTGGGCACAACAATTCCCCCATAGTGTTGGCCCCCAACACAGCCTACTTCATTATCACGAGCGTCCGTGATTCATACGTGGATTCCACGTTCATTACAATCAGAGCTACTGTTACGTATACAGTTACGGTACTGTACTATCGCTAGCATTAGGTACGGCCGAGCATGCGTGCGAAAATGTCCGGTGCACTATAAATCTGTATCACACCCGCTTTGCCGGCAGCAGTTTGAAACTGTAGCCAACGGATTTTTGGACTGCGGATTTCAATTAGACATTTCTTAGTAACCAGCAGTGGTAAACGGCTATAAGGTAATGTACTTATTAACTACACAAGGTGCCAGTTACTCTAGCATTCGTCAACATTGCATAATCAATGGATCTATTATTCCTTTAATTTAAAAGCAAAAGGATTGTAATATCTTATAAACGACATATAGTTTCAGTTATATTATGGATAAATTTGTCCTAAAATGAACATCGTTCGGTTAAATAGCATTTAGGTATAAATATAATTGCACCTTTGTGATTAGCCTTTGGTCTGTAACGTGCAAAATATATTGGGAAATGCGCAACTTTTTCAGGGGGGCAGCACGGTCGCGAGTGTCAATGGCGCCGTTCACATTTCGTAGCGTTGATGTATAATTAATTATAACAATTAAATTAGGTATCTGGTAACAAGTAGGTGTGGGTATAGACGATTTGTTATACAGTAAGTACGGTTGTATGCAGTAAAATCCTAGAGTCTAGTATCCCTTTAAGCAGCGCCGTCTGTTCAATATCAGCAATGTTAATACTAGTGAATTTAAGCGCCAATCCCACAGTTTTGTTATTCCTTGTAAAAAAGTTGACCTCTTTCAGAAGCTTTGTTCATCCATTTAGCATGGTATATTCTGTATTAATTTGTTCATAATTTACTTACAGAATGAACAGATGGCTGGTGCTGACGGCATCCAGGCATTGCACAAACGTAGCAAACGTCTGAATGACGCAGGGTCAATAAGATATAGCATTCCTAAATGCATCCCTGTCAAGAGTGTTACTGATGATGCTGAAGCAGCTTTGCAGCAGCTGCACACGCAGCAGCGTACACTAGAGGATAACCTAGCAAGCGTACTCCGCGTGAGGGAGCTTGCAAATTGGTACACTTACATAGATGGAATGATTGTAGATGGGTGAGTATTAATTTCGCCAGTTAAAATCTACTTTACTGCCAGGCCAATGTAGTATTAGAGCTGCAGTGGATACAATTAATGTTCTGTCTAATAAGTTAGTATTTATATAGGTGCTCTGAAGATTTATGTAACTGTGAACCTTTTGTCATCCTCTTGTTATAACTAGGATCACCAGGCACCCTAACAAATAGCACACATATACCCATAACTTCATTCAAAAGCAAACCAAAGCAGCACAGTATTACTGAAATATTTTAACCATTATGCAACTCTCAGCCACGTCAAGAGACATTGCTTGTACATGTTAACGGTCATCAGTCACTATTGGTAATCACTTGATGGGTTCTGGAGAATGCAAAGCAAAATTTCCAATTTTATATAGCCATTGTGGCAATAGGAACCATAGCATTTAAAATGTTGTACTTTCTAACAGAATCTTTCTAGCATGACAACATTACAAGCCTTCAACAACCTGTTGGTTCTTCTCAGAATTTTTGTATGTTTCCATTAAAAAATAAAGTAAATTCATTCTATACAATTGTAGTTTAATATGTGTTTTGTATTATGCTTGTTTTTTTAATTTGATGAGTAATGTTATTTTCCTTTTAATAAGTTTTAATTATTTATTTCCAGACCCGAATCTGCAAAAATTCGAATTCATAATCTTGTGGCAGAACAGTTTAATAAACTTGATACAGATATCAAGGTAAGTGAATTTATTCATTGTTTATTACTATAGATGAAATTGCTATAATGCATGTAATTATATCATTTCAAACTTTCTAAAAGGAATTTTTTTTTTATTCCATCATGGTTAAATATGGTGTTAACATATCGTACTGCTAAATGTGTTGCCGTTTTCAGTGACTAATTTTATTATTTTATGTTTGCTAAGAACGTTAATATAATTTTCTATTGGAAGGAGGCAAATTCTTCTCCGGTAAAATCAAAGTCAAGGACCGATGTAGCAGAACATGTGTCAAGGAGTAAGGTATGTGTTTCACTGGCGATACAGTTGGTACTTTTAGAAATATATCTGTTTTACGAGATATTCCATCCAAAAAGTGCAATTTGGTGTTTAATGTATCATGTTCTCAATTCAGTGTAACCTGGCAAAGTAAAACTTGTCATTCAAGTAGCTTTGCTACAACATGGATGTGAGAATAATGCTGATTATGTTTGATGACTTATCACAGGCAGCAGGAAAAACAAGTGTTAAAACTAAACCAGTTGGAAATAAAATGAAGCCATCATCTATGAGCTCAGCTGGAGACAAACTAGTCAAGCCAACTGTCAGGAGTAAAACGACACGAAACCTTGAGCATGATACCAGGAAAAAGACCATTCCTCAACAGATGAGAGCAGAGTCATTTACAACACTACAATCTAGACCAGAGGCTAAAGTGAGTAATGTGTTGCCATTCACTTATTACTTCTCATTTAGATTGATTACTGTTGATTTTCTTATATCGGTGGATTTTACAATGTTTAATTTAATGAATTAATAATGAATAAATAAATAGTTTAATCGAGAATAATTCAATATATCTTGGGTAATTGCCCATTTCTATGTGTATAGGTTCAGCCAGTGAACAGCTACCACAGATCAAGTGTGAGACAACCATATCTACGCTGGGGATCTAGTCAATGGCAGATGCACCTACCACAAATCATGCCCTCACATTTTGAAGGTAAGGCATAATAAGTTATCAGGTATTTCGTCACAGTCTTTGACAGTTTGAAGTGTGCCATACCACGATTTGGTATTGAATAAGATTTGAATCAGGCTGTCTTACTTGGTAAACTTTCACTTTAATATCGGGTCATAAAATGAGTGCCAGTGCAAGACTACTGCATTGTTACAGGCATAGAAATGAAGTCAGCGAAGGTCCAAACGTCTGAGCAGACGTCACTGGATGACCTACATGACGGGGATGAGCGAGTCTCGCCTCAGCAGAAGACTTTCCGGCCACAGAGCGAGACGGATCAACCGATACCCGCTGCCATATCGCTCGGCATCACGCGGACGCCACCTTCCTCCTTCACAGCTTCACAAGGCTCTGCTTCCACACCGCTAACACGGACCCCAGCCACTCTGGGCACCATGATGTCTGGGGCGGTGGTAGACGACAGTCGAAGGCAAAGAAACGTTGGTTTCGTAAGCGTAAAAGCGGGCAAGACGAAACCGAGGCTGTCATTGCAGGTGAAAAAGCTGTCGTTAATTCTGCACTCGATATGAAAACCGTTTTCCTCACGAATACACTTTTAAATTTATATAAGAGCTGGTCATATTGAGGAGGGAGATGTTGATATTGATGCAGGCAATCATCAAAGTAATTTCTTGGTTTAAAAAATAAATAAATATTGGTATTGCCATAATTTTTAACATAATTAATGAGTATCTCTATGAAGTTGCAGAGTATTGAGTTGTCAAATACATTGTCGTAATGTGCAGTAGGCTTCACTCACATTGTTTTCCATCACCTTGCAATATATGATGTGATGTTTAACCATATTGATAGCGATTCACCACTGATACCTCCCTCCGAATTTATGTCATTCTTAATAGGTTTTGCCTAACATAGAAATCCCATCGCACAAAGCAGATGCATCAATGGATCAACCAAATTACCTGCTCGTGACGGAAAAGGAGGAGGAGGAGGTACTGCGTGGTGATGACTTGTAGGGAATAGAGTAACATGTTCGGGGTTCTGTCGTGGCACTACTTGTGATGTTCAGACTCGACGGTGTCCGGTACAGATATTTACAGGAGTTTTCCACATGTAGAGACATCTAGATATAGATAGTAGGGATAGTGGGAGAACATGCCCTTCTATTTTCTATTTCTTTCATTACACACAGCTATAGTAGGTAGTCGGAAGACAGGTGATATATATATATATATATATATATATAGGTGGTATAGGGACAGGTTTGACTATATATAACATACATGTACACATACATGATAGCAAGTGCACCGAGTCAATAGTGTAAGGAAACGGTACTATTTCACCATAAACTTTTCAATTGTTTATGGGGAAAAATCGGCAAGCTGACATGTGCTTGATGTGGCAGGTTAGTGACACAAGCAGCACCGAGGGAGATGGCGTTCTCCTTCCTGGATTCCGCCAAACTTCACCGCAGCCACACACTCGGCCTACTCACCTGATAGAGCCAACAAAGCTGTCACTCCATGATCATCAGCCGCATGGTCCCTCATCAGACACTTTGGCCGAAAACCTTCTGCAGAGGAAATCTGTCGAAGACAAGGCAAAGCAGTGGTAAGCTTTTCTGGTACCTATGGTAAAATCGATAAAAAAATAAAATCACGTATTTAACTCGTCGTGGGGTTATTGAAGTCGGCGTGCATATCTCAGTTAACTTATACGGCCAGCACGGGAAGTAGGGTAGGTAAACATGGCACTTGCCTTCAGTGGGATGACGGAATTCGACCCGTGGATTGATGCGCGTCATGGCTTTCTGCGTGCAGGATTGAGCAGGAGCTATTGGCCAGGATTGTCGGCGAGATGCGCAAGGCAGACGATGAGCAGACCCGCCATGTTGTTGATGTGGATGTAGCCGGTAGCTCCAGTGAAGACTCACGCTCGCATGGAAACACAAGTAAGCGTTGGGGTTGTTATAACGCTGTTATATGTCATGGGTATGTCTTGCACCATTGAAGCAATATACAGTCCTGTACATACTGATGGGAAATCCCCAAAAGTATCCTTTATAGACGTCTATTCTATAGAGGTTTCTGCTAACACCGGTTTAATTGTATATAATGACCCCTGTAATCTTGGGTAAGAACCATTGTTGCTCCTAAGCTTGTAGATTCATAGCATTGCTGCATATATAATCACAAATTATATACGAGTCCAATAAAGGGTTTGTATAATGCCGGTAACACGTCCTTTAGAGCAATGTCAAATAAAATACAGTTGTTGATGGGCTGAAGAGCTTTTTGGTAGTATGAAACTTGTAATCGCATTGACGTTTGTTTTAAATCTGCGATCTTCTCTGTAGCCAGATTCCTGGGAGCTCGGGGTTTGCAGGCATTTATTAATGCAGGATTGCAAGTCGATGGAGCTTTGCTCGAAAGCTTACTGAAGGAAGCGATACTAGAGGAAATACGATCACTGTTAGGAGAAAGGCAGTCTCCACAGCCCTCATTGATTCCTGCTGCAGAAGACATCCCCCACACTGAATCTCCTGTTGCAATGGTGTGCAAGCATTGCAGCCTTTATAATTTAAGCCATAATTATTGCCAATACTATATTGTTACTATATAACTATTATAAGCGTAATAATAAAGAAATTATTAGTATAAATGAAAATATAATTTTCTGCTTCTGTACAGAGCTGAGCTATCAAAGACATAATTAACAGAAAGGTTAATTACGTTTTTCCAGAATACATAATATGGGATAATACCACAATAAGGATTTTGGAAATTTTGATATCTAGGGTAAATTACATTTTGACTGCCTGCTGAATGCATTTAATTATGTCTAATGGCGAATAGAGACAGACTGGTAGTTAATGAATGTGATATGTGCCACACAAATTTGATCACTATATAACGCTATGTGCAGTGTAATGTCTTTCATCCTACATCTCTGCTCTATTTACAGCCACCTGTGCGTAGTCGCAGCATTACGCCTGATGTCACACCAACCCTCTCCCCAGTCTCCTCACACAGTAGTATTAAGGAAGAAGCAGAAGACAGCCCGACTCCACAACAACAGCCTACACCAGACAATAGTCGTGTGTCCGAGGAAATCTTAAAGCCCGGAATGCTGGCCCTCGAAGGTGCTTTGCTGTTGTTTTCGTCGCGCAGTCTCTACGCAAATATATTACATGCTACAATCTGTTAGAACCAGTAAGTTAATTAAGCTGAAGGGGTCGTTGTCGTATCAGGTACTACATATATGTACCCGAGGTACATATGTGTATACACAAAGTGTACCAGACTTGTACTACAGAAGTGTACCCTAACCCTAACCCTAACCCTAAACATACCTCATATAAAAATATAAACATAATACTAAACAACCTAAAACTACCTCGGGTACATATATGTAGTACCTGATACGACAACGACCCTTCATGCGTAAGTTAACTTCTGGGAAATTATGTTCAATATTTTGCAAGAATGTAGACTTAGGTCTGTTGATAACTAGTATGCTGCAGTTACAGACGTTTACGCGCACATATATACATGCGCACGGACGCACGCACGCAAGCATGCACACATACTTACAATGCATTGCACTTGTAAGCGAACCTTGCAAACAATAAAAAAGTGCACATCTATAATCCTATTAACATCATTCAGATGTTGGAACTTATTTCTTCACATTTCCTATTTGCAGAAGCAGAGAGTTCGACAGTAGTGCACACAAGCAGTCCCCCGATCGCTGCCTCACCCACCCCTACTCCCACACCACTCCCGGCACCCACACCACCACCAACATCACCACCCTCGCCAGTCCCCAGTGTACCAACACCATCCCCCCCATCAGAACCTTCTGTGGCATCCCCTGTTGCAAGTGAAAGGAGTGAGCTCTCAGTGCCAGACATCCCAAATGAAGAAGAGAATCGGAGTAGAGAGTAAGTATGCATGTATTTTACTCATTGTTCAGGAATTTATAGATAAATAACATACTGCTTTTGATAATACTGCTGCTAGTCATTCGAACCCAAGCTCGTAACAATAACGGACAAAATATCAGACAAAGTACAAGTATATGTATTTACGTTTTAGCACGCATGTGGACCATAATAAATTGTATTCTCTCAATATTGCACACTCACATAGCATCATAGCATGTCACACGTCACTCATAAATTTGTTGATTTTTGTCTGTAATGCCGATGTATTTTATTTGCCATCTATTGTTTTCAGGCTGTCTCCTGTTGTTGTCGAGATGGTGCCACAGACACCTGCTGAATTTCAGCTCCCTCCCAAGCTTCCTTCACCCGAACCAGAGCCTTCTCCCCCTTCATCTGCTGCTGAGCAGACGTCATCCGTTTCAGAGGAATCGTCGAGCGTCATTCAGGTGAAGCATGTGCTATCAGTCGGCACTATATGCTATACACATTGCTTCAGCGTAGAATTGACATGGATTTATATGTTGATTTGCCCCCAGTAAACTCCTAGTTGTTTACAAATATACATGGCCAATCTTTTTTGAAACCTCACATTCTGTTGCACCACATTATCTACTGTATAAGTTCATGGTATTGTTTGTCTCCATTCTCATTTCGTATGAAACTATGAAGTTTACTGTAGTAAGTGCTATGTAATGTATTGACATAGGCATACTGCAGTGGGTAGTCATAATTATCCTATCTCACGACTTTATTCGTTTTTTTCTCCTTCCGTACATGTCTAATGTGATATTTACTGCATAGCAGGACAGCTATACCTCTACCGGTTGGAGCCTGTCGGAGGGAGAGTGGTTACTCGGTGGGTTACACACCAACCTGCACCGGCCTGGCATGATGCCAGCGAGCACTGACAGTACGATGCGTGGAATATGGGACATTGAAGAAGACGAGTTAGAGCCAGGACAGGTGAATATGTAACATGGTCCAGATTTCACAGAAATCAAGAGTAGATTCCAATTGCTTGATGACTTCATTGTGTGGTGAGGATAGAAGCTGACAGGATTCGAAGATCATGGAAGTGTAGTCTTTTATATCCACGCCTAAATGTGTAAGGAATTTACACTTAACAGAGACAGCCAAGAGAGCAATTCAATGCATGAATCAATAATGAACCCTACATAGACACATACTTTCGGGCAATTTTATATGCTCTTGTAGTGACTGATAACGTGGTACTGAAGAGTTTTAGACGATCTTGAGCAGACATTGCAAGCACGCTTAAACCTCTGTGATGAGGTTTTGATAGTAGGGTGCGAAATTAACGGGAATCCGGAGTCAAATACTCCCTGATTTACTGTCGGACTCCCTGATTTGACATATGCAGGAGTCCGTGTGACTCCCTGAAAATTCTGCCATACTAACTAGTTCGTTCCGGAGCCTCGTGGAATTACTGTATTTTTTCAGCTAATGTCCAAAGAAAATTTGGCAGACGTGCAACTGCATGAATCTTAAAAATAAGCACATGCGTTATTGTTAATATCTTTAATTTTGAACCTCAGACTGCGGACTCCCTCTTTTTGAGGGTATGGAGTCCAGTCCGTTGGACTCCCTTGTTGAAAATTTCTACCCCTGTGATGGTCAAGCGATTTCTATGCATAACCTTAATTATAGGTGCCACCTGGAAGAAGAGCAGCAGCAGCAGCAGCAGCAGATGGATCGATTGCTTTACTGCTAGCACGCATTGATAAGGGACTCAATGCTACAGTTAGTGAAGAAGCCAGCAAGGGGGAACTAATGTACAATTACAGTGCTGGAGAGGTAAGAAACTATATAGATGAGTAGACACAGTAGACAACATGGAAACCAACTTTATTGTAAGTAGAACCACTCACTAAATTATACATAATGCTACTTTGTAGGGCACTACCTATTTGAAAATGTTGTTCTTTCACTGGTAAACCCCCAAATCCTAGCTAAAAACACTATTAATAAACTGATTCTAAAATATATCAATGGAAAATATATTTAAAAAAAACATATGTGTTAATTAAACCAAAATATATAAATGGATTCTCGCTTGTGCTGTTCACATTTTTGCACTGCTCTGAAGTAGTTTATCGGCATACGTTTCATTCAGCTCAGCGTGGCAGGGCGTTATCTCCCAATGACAAATCATGCAAAAGTGGCACATGTGCAATTTGAGCTTCCCACCTCTCCTGGGGAGGTGCCGCATCATCATGGCCTACAGGGCATGTCATATGCTCCCTTGGCCACTTCGGAATGTCAGGCAGATGCTGAAGACAACAGCCAACTAGATGTTGTGAGCGAGGGACAGAAACTTGAATTGGTAAGAGCTAATTAAATGAACAACTCTCCATCGAAAAATGAAAGGTTACATGAAAATTACACTGTAGCAACTGTGCTTAGCTCATTGCTCACTATAATCGCTTGAAATTTTGTTGGTGTAACCCGCAAAGAACCATCGAAACTTGTAGGTCAGAACACTTAGTTGGCCACAATGTGATGTAGTATTACTATTTCAGCCACTGCCATTCCATGTAAAAACTATGGACCATCAGCAAGATGATCACAGTGGCAGTGATGGAGGCAGTGGTGAAGTGAACCCCATCAGAAAACCCCCAGCAGTTCCAGGAGCAGGTAAGGCCCCACGTATTTCCACTCACTTCTGTGATTCCGCCATCAGGCTACTAACAGGAAAAATCACAATCACACAGTGTGTAAGCCATGCTGCTGTATCGTCTGCTGCATCATCTGTAGTGATACTGTAGATATGAAGACATTTGTTGACGACGTTACATATCAGGATGCAGCAGATAGCGAAATGCAACTTGAGCGACTTGCGACTTGCAACTTGCGAGATGCAAGTAAATGCAACTTGATGCTATTGCAGAGGCAGTCCCAGTTACAATCCGAAGAAGAATGAGTGACCAACCGAATGCGTCAAAAATTACTGTAACTGCTATGGACGATGATGATGAGGAAGAAGATGATAGCAGTAATACAAGTAATAATCCAGGAAATAAAGACATTGAGCACAATGGTATGAATAATTATTAATCCTTCACTTTGATATACAATTGTTGACAAATAATCTTTATTCTGCAGATAAACAATTAATGATCGTATGTTACACCTGTGTGAAAACAGATAATCATTTGTAAAGTCACATAGAACTACAGCTTTCTATGTCTATAGAAGTACAAACCTAATATGCTACGCTTTTGCTTCATCCGTTTATGTTTAATAGCTACTGGTTAAAATAGCATGTTAGGAGTTTGATTAGAAAACTACTGGTTTTAGAAACTACAAATTTTCAGTTGCTGGATTACATGATAAGAAAACCAGCTTCACATGTAATGAAAAATAGATTAGATTAGATTTAGTCCAATTTATTTTTGATGTAACCAGGAGTACACTAAATACAATTAAATACCAATTTACTCCTAATATAACGTCTATAATTTGGCACATTTATTACTTGTTCAACAGATGCCAGCACCATTTCTGATCGGCCAACATCGTCGCGGCTTGAAATAACTGCACTGGATGACAGTGACTCGGACGGAGAGGAACTCGCTTACGAAATTTCAAACGAGGGTGAAAGATCTGTTTCTAGTGACCATGCAGGTTACTCTGACCAGATAGCTGGTCAATCTCATGATGGCGATGGTACCGGTACCCTTTTAGGGACGCTGCATAACATTCCAGATTTAATTGACTCCTCCTAGTTATAAATGTATTGTCACACTAGAATTTGTAAATAGAAGAGTAAATTAATTTTAAGTAGAGTATTCACCTGCTATTTCTGCCTTTGTATGTTGGATGTATATATTTTTAATACGTGTTCTTTATATATGCATTTGATCATAATGAATATAGTGGTGTAGAAGTTTTTGTACCATATTTTCCTGGTCTACTTAGCTGTCAGAGTAAAAAATGAATTTGCATCCACAGTATCAGTCTCAGTATTATGAGCTATTGATATTCCAAGATTATACACCAATTTTGCACTGCAACCATGATCGTAGCTAGACTCGATGTTTTGACTAGTAAGAAGACTACGTACACACTGTAGAGTGATATGGTCAGATGGGTTTTTGGAAAACTGCACGCTTTTGTCTTTCACTTAGTTTTAACATGCCAAGTAGACAGTACAGCATTGTAAGATGTGCAAACAAGGTATAGATATTTGATGGTAGCAAAGCCAATAAGTCCTACAGTGCACCACACTTTTTGAAATGCAAAATTGGCTCATTTGGGAGCTTGAAATAATACATCATATTAAAGTCGCTGATAAGACATTAATTTCAAGAGCAGACATGTAAGTCGAGCAACAAATTTGTTTGTACAAAAGTCGAAATGACAAAGAATACCTCATTAGTTATGAAGTCAACCATTTTATTTTTGTTTTGACACTATAAACAAGAAATACTTGATTTTACAACGAAGTACTCTAACAATACAAGAAGACAAAGAACAGGTTTAATAATGTAATAGATTTAGTTACAGCAACTGATTTTAACGTTTAATCAAAGAAATACACAGAAATGCAATAGGGACTGTATAATTATCTATATAATCTATAGTTATATTAATAAAGCACCTCAATATGTATACTTTATCAGGAAATAAAAAAGATGTTAGGTGGCAGTCAAAAACATATTACTGCCCGATGAAACACGACTCACACATTCAATAGCCACGCAAACTACCCCCTACTCCTCCTTTCAACTGACTGTATACATCCAATTGTCCCCCAATTCAATTTGTTTTCTAGGACAATAATTTTATGAGACGGGCTACAATCTCAAATGACACAGTGAAAAAATATTTACACATTATTGTGACACGATTATTCAAAAAGGGACTATGAAATAACTGCCACGACTATAATTTTCTCTGGAACTGGGTGTAAATTCATTCCTTGATATACTTTCTTCAGGTTGCATTGCTTACACCATCCATCATCCAGGGAAAGGCACTGCAAACCGCCCCGTATTTTACGTCCAAACGGCCCGTAATTCCCTGTACAGAAATGCAAACAGGCTGCGTATTAGTACTATTAGTAAAGTAAAGTAAAGTAAAGTAAAATTTATTTTCATCGGTATATCATGAACATTGTAACATAAGCTAAAAGCTTTTGCACCGATATCAAACAAGAATAAAAGATATTGATTATAGGGGCCTACATAGTAAAAACTGCGTAACTGCAGTGTTACTATTCACATAGGCCTTATTGGCCGTATTGCCTTTAAACAAATAACAACAATATATCAATATATTACATGTCAATTAGCGACACATTGAGCATCTGCACCTGTACCCACCCCACGTTTCGAGTAGCCTTTTAAACACGTTGAAGTTCTCACTCCGACGTATACATTTCGGTAATTCGTTCCATATTCTAGCTCCTTCATACTTTAAGCTTTTCTTACCGCAAGTTGCCCTTTCGAAACGTGGGATGTGTACACGGTAATTAAAACTATATCTGGATTCATTCTTTACAACAAGATCGTGGTAACAATTAGACATGTTCTAGAACTTCATAAAACTGTAATAATAGATATATACATGTTGAGGGATGTAGACTGTTGAGATTTCATCAAAATTATTGATATTTTTTTGCACGTCAAATTACAGTCAGAATGAAATGTGTTATAGCCACATAAATGAATTCATTTATTTTTATTGAGAATACTTTAATTGTGTGAAATGGCATCTCTATCCATGGTTCTCCGCATTCCTTATATGCAACATATGTTGGGTCCAACATGCCTTCAAATCCAAAGCTAATTTGTGACATACATCCCATAGACCTTTTGACATGTCTTTATTTCCTAATCAGCATGCCTTAATTCCCAACTGTTTACTTTTGACAATCTCAACACAGTCATGCTGTTTTCACAGCTTGATGTATGTGTATCCAAAACTCTAATTAGTAGAACCGCCTCCCAGGCCCACTCTCATCTGTACATAAACATCATGGCTTCTGAAATTCTTGGGGACAACCCTGATACCTATCTATATATCTATATATCTATATATCTATAATTCATGTGTTATTAGCTCTTTGTCTATATCTGTATCAATATAATAACGCCTAAGGTTGTTGCCGCACTCTGATTGGTTGGAGCCCCCTCTCTATGCACACTAAATCAAGCAAGGTCAATAACCCCCACACTTTCAGATTAATTGTGTTGTAATGCTGACTACAGACTAACATGTGGAGAAATGTACTTTGCCGATCTAAATATCAGTAAGCAAGGTTTGAACAATGCAACTTTTGTGTTGAGTCTATCTGATCAAAATATTTTTATGCTCAAACGCATTGCAAAACCGTACAACCACACATCTTACTTGTTATACCGGTGATACCCAAATACTAATGCTGAAACCATAATAAAACAGCAGGTAGAGGAGGTAGAGGGGACACGGTAGAGGGTGGAGGAAAGTATGTGAAAATGAAGAAGTAAAGGAGAAAGGAAGGTAGAGGGGGATAAAATGGGAGTATGTGGAGGTAGAGAAAATGGGTAATGTAGAGAGGGTAAAGGAAAAAGAAAAGGAAGGATAGAGAAAAGGCAGAAGGAAGGATAGAGGAAAGGCAGGAGGGATAGAGGAAAGGCAGAAGGAAGGATAGAGGAAAGGCAGAAGGAAGGATAGAGGAAAGGCAGAAGGAAGGAAAGAGGAAAGGCAGAAGGAAGGATAGAGGAAAGGCAGAAGGAATGATAAAGGAACAGGAGAAACAGAGTTACTGAAGAACATACAAGAGGGGGAGAGGTGAGGTGGAGACAGTGGAGGTGGTAAAGAAGGTGAAATAAGTGGAGGAGACAAAAATGTAGAAAGAGAATATGGCCGAGGAGGATGAAAGCGAGATTATAAGAAGAAAATCAAGTAGAGAATAAAGAAACTTCTTCAAAAACACTAAGCTGCATAGTGCATATGCTATGTAGGCTATAATTACTGTGAAATAATTTAGCTTTTGGTCATTTCTGAAAGAGTTAAGATTTGTCTCATAACTATCAGCAACAGTCCAAACATCAATCAGTGGGGTATGATGGCACTGCATTTAAATATGATTGTGTACAGGGCCCAGCAAAAGTATCATGCTATTTGAAAAGGGAAGATTTGAAGCCCAAAATCTTACTATTTAAATTGTATGTTACCATTTATAAGAACCATCAAGGCTCAAATAGAATCTACATACTTCAACAAATAATATCACTAGTGCAAAATTAATCCTACACTCATATTATAGAAACATGTCGATAGATACTGCCAACGAGAATCATGAAGTAACATGACCAAACTACAGAATCTCACCACGAAAGGGTCCCCAGCATTTCTTGTTCAACCAAACATCTCCTGTGAGGCATAGGTCATGTAGAGGAATCCATCGTCGTCCTTGTCGTCCCTGTACACCTCCGCTAGCACCGTCGACATGCTGGCCAGACTTTTATTGTTGATGATCAGGTAGAACGCTTGGTTTGCACTCAAATGCAAGCGATTCCTTAAAAACAAAAGAACGATATCGCTTGACGCACGTATAATACCCACACACACTCACATCACGAGCATATCATGACGGGGTAAGAGGTATTAGTACTGTATATACGTGTTTATTCCCGCATGTATTGCCAAGTGATGAGCTACAAGGGAAGGGTCCATAAATGTGAATTCAAAAGCCATACACGTATTCGCATTGATGGATAGATTACAATTACAGTGCCTCCCACATGGTTACATCTGATCGATTCCTCTTTTCTTCATTTATATTCTCATAATTGTACCGTGCTGGCTGCATCCGTATTTAGTCCAGTAGCAGAATCGGAAAATAGGCCCTAAATAAGGCTCATAGGGTCTATGTACCCCAGGGTACTGCCGGAACGTACCCTGGTAACTATTTGATATGGTTAGGGTTAGGGTTAGTGCTAGTGTTAGGGTTAGTGTTAGGGTTAGTGCTAGTGTTAGGGTTAGGGTTAGGGTTAGGGAGTAGGCGTAGGCGACTCCCTAGACTCGTTAGTGGAGTAGGCGAGGTACGGTCCGGCATATTAGATAGTACCAGGGTCCAGGGTACGTTCCGGTACGTTCCGGCAGTACCCTGGTGGACATAGACCCTCTCAGCCTAAATAAGGAAATCGTAGCACCCCCACTACACAATTGGTTTGACTTCAGATTATGGTAGAGAAATACCTACAGAATAAGTTTATTGAGGGTGTACTAATGAATTGTGGGGTCGGGAGTGTGCTACATGACAATTTTTGGAGGGGGGTGGGGTCAAATAATATTGAAGTGAGTGAGTGAGTGAGTGAGTGACATGAGTGACCGATGGGAAAAAAACTGCTTTGAATATTCAACAATTTTGAATATTGTTTTACCCATAATGCACTGGGAATCTAATTCTCAAGGCAGCCATCTTGAATTTTCGTCTACATGAGGTACGTTGCTTTCTCTATTTTTTTGTGTTAAATATTCATTTATAGCCACATTTTATTATTAATCACAATGGAAAACATTCCCTAAAGCATTAGAATATTTAGAAAAACTGTATTTTAAGCCCCCAAAAAAAGTAGACATGGAATGGTACACGTTCCCGGTGTGTATCGAGTCACGGTCAGTAATCGAGAGGCGAGATTTTTCCTCATTTCTGTTAAAATGACTATTGCGAGTTTTTTGGCTCAGAAAAATTAAATATAGCTGAATATAGCCTCACCTGACAGTGGAAATATCACTGATTATACCAACATTCAAAACACCAAGATTTTATGCAGTTAAAGCATGTAAAAATTGATTTGACCACATCATACCAGCAATAAATTTTATCGTGTCCCGACTCTCAAAATTACAAATGGCATCTTCAAAACAAGTGTACATAATTAAAACAAAGGGGCGTGCAATTCTGTGTGGTAAATATTATTTATTGTTTATGTCAATAATTCAGAGCACT